ATGCAACATTCACACTATAGGAGCTGTTGTATAATTGCAAACATAGTTTATTAATATATATAGGTATGTCTACACTACCACCCTAGTTCGAATTAGGGTGGTAAAAATTAAAATAAAAGCAGAATAAAATGAATAGAGTTGCAATAAATATAACAAAGGCAAACTAGCCCATAGGCTACAACTGAAACATTTTGTGAATGCATATTGATTTTGCTGAATTGTCTCAATTGAAATTTAAAAAAAAAGACAAAAACAAAAAATAATTTATTTTTACCTTTTTTAAACAAAACATTTCTTTTTTTATTTTGAGTGGAAGTGACTTTATTTTGAAATTTGCATTTTTTTGAGTGGAAGTGACTTTATTTTGAAATTTGCTTTAATTTACTTAAAATTGAGATTTTTCAAAAGAGAAATAAAATGTGTTGCTTAATACTCTACCACTTTGTTTTTACTTTTCGTATCTGATGAAAATTTTGAAAAAAAAATTCCAGCTCAATTAGATTATTTTTTCTATTTTTTGGAACTATCTATTAATCAAAAATTCATTTGTCTGGTTTTCGGTAGTCTTGACTTCATTTCGGCTCCCAATTTTCTAGCAATCCTAAGAAAGCAGAAATGTCTATACCTGGAACAGATGAAAGGTAGGGAAGAAACTGGTTGCCTGAGCAACAGTTCTTTCTTTGGGTTAATCCTAGAGGGACTCAGTAATATGCCAACCCTTACTATGAGCTGAGTGACAAAATGAAGAGACACAGTGATTATGCCTACATTGAAGCTGGAAGTGTGTCTCCCAGTGCAGGGAGGGGGAAAAAAAGCTGCTGCCAAAAAATAGTAACTTAGTGCAAGGCAGCAGTGGCCCGTGGTAGGCAGCCAGGTACCAAGCAGCTTGAGGGTCACATGGCTACTTCTCTTATGCTAGCTAAAACAAAACTAGCACACATCTGTCTACCCATGTTGGGAATCATGCTCCCAGATGCGGTGCAGAAATAGCCAGTATTATGCACTGGGATGATCAGTTCCATGTGAAAAGTATTCCATGAGGTAGTATAACACAACCTAAATCATGTTAGCCAGACTTGTGTGGCTCCTGCCACACAGCTAGTAGTATAGTTGCGGTTGTGACCCCAGTGGCACCCTTTCTAAGGACCCTATCCTGCCATGGAGATAAAAGAGGACGGTGAGTGAATGAAAATATGGCTATAAATTGTAGTGTGAACTAGTAGATTGCACACCAAGGGTATGTCTACACAGCAGGGCTAAAGTTAAACTAAGCTATACAACTTCTGCTATGTCAATTGCGTAGCTTAAGTTGGAACAGCTTAATTCGGCTTTTGCTGCTGTCTATACAGCAGGAAGTTGAGGGAAGAACACTCTTCCTTCAACTTAGAATCATAGAACACTAGAATGGGAATGGACCTCAAGAGGTCATTGTCCAGCCCCCTGCTCTTTACTCCTTGTGAAATGAGGGTTACCATGAGTTGGAGTAAGGAGTCCTCCAGTTTGACATTACAGGCAGTCCCCGGGTTACATGGATCCGACTTACATCAGATCCCTACTTACAAATGGGGTGAGGCAACCCCGCACTAGCTGCTTCCCCCCAGCAGACCAGGGAGACGCGGAGCGGCTTTTCTCAGCAGACACCTCAGCTTGAGAATAAAGGACTGAGGGAAGTGAGGTGTGGGAGAATAAAACTGAGCTCTGGAGAAATGTTTGGCTAGAGTTTCCCCTACAATATGTACCAGTTCCGACTTACATACAAATTCAACTTAAGAACAAACCTACAGTCCCTATCTTGTACGTAACCCGGGGACTGCCTGTATTTCAAAATAAAGGCTTAAAGTGTATATGTGCTCTATGTTATTTTGGAATAATGTCAGTTACGCCGAAATAATGCTGCTGTTTAGAAGTACCCTTTCGGCCTGTGCAGACCCTACTGGTTCTCATACAGAGTTCCCTTGTGCACATCAGTTAGCATTGTTTGAAAGGAGACTATATTAACACATTCTAGGAAACTTTTGGTTTGTACCACCCAGGTCCAAAAGAGCCAGTTATTGAACAACACAATGGGGCACACTAGAATTTACACTCCTCCGGTGTGGACTAATTCACAGAATAGACAAGCCTGACCATTTATTAATCAACCAAAGAGATATCATAAAACTGCAACTAATAGTACAAAATTGAGGGGTATGTTAGAGAGAGTTCATAGAGAGAAAGCTAACCACCCCCCTCCCCGATGGTGGATGATATACATACCAACACTACTGCTCACAGGATGAGTCATCTCTTTTACTCAGATTCACATTGGTATTCAATTTAATTTAAAACCTCTGATTTGGACATCCAGAGAACAATAACAATAATACAATAACAAGGAGTCTGGTGGCACAGTCTGATTTAATTAGCACTGATGTCACATTCCCATCTCTGTCTTTCCCATTTCTGTCTTTCCTTCTTTTTTTCTTCAACATCTGAGGAAGTGAGTTGTAACTCATGAAAGCTTATGCTCTAATAACCTAATAAACTTGTTAGTTTTGAAAGTGTTACCAGATTCCTTGTAAATCTTTCTGAAACCTGAATATTAAAATAACCTCAGACAACCTCTCTGAAACAGGAATAGTAAAATAGTGGCCTGTTATATCCCTAAACGTGATACACGGTCCCAATGCAGAAGGCACTTATGAATGGTGCCCATGATTTTATTCCCTGCCTTTCTAAAAATAAAAGCCTTATCTGTTTGCATTATTTATTAATTAATTTAATTTGTAAAGTGCTCATTGCAAAGTCCCTGGGCACTGTACAAAGATTAAAAACAACCTCTCATTAAAAGGTAACGAGGCTTATCTACAGCAAAATACATTTCTCTCCCCTCCTCCTTCTGAAATGCGTGGTTACAGTTTGGTCACAGCCTGGAGAAAAAAGGGATTTTACACTGGGCTCGGAAACACAACCAACTTTGAATGATGTAGGCCAATAGAGGAAACAGATTTGACACCTGAAATCCAAATCTAAGAGACTATTCTGCCCCACATACTGGAGTGAGATCCTTGAGCCCACCAGGTCCCTTTGGGTCAGGTAAAAGGACTGGATACCTTTTCCATTCCTGTTATAGGTGTGGGGTGGAAATTGAAGGAAGAAGAGTGTACTAGAGTACGGGCTATAGTGCACAAAGCCGCAGAGATTCCAGGCAAAACTATAGCCCACAGCAAAGATATGGGAGGAGGCTGCTGTAATTTCAGCCCCCAGGACTTCAGCCACTGGAGAATCCTACATTGGGATTGAACAAGTGTGGCATCCAGCCACTTCAGCTCCCTCTTTCCATGTGTAAGTTCAAATTTAGGGACTTAAAAAAAAAGCTAATAATGGTGGGCTTCTGAAATTGATAACATGCACCAGAGTAATATAAAGGAACATAAGCTACACAAGGGTACAATATACATGGAACAAAGGAATATTGACTAGATATATGCACACGAATGGATTTTTCCACCTATCAAAAAATAGAGAGGGCAGCTGTCATTAAAACATGCCTCTGCCCATCATGTCCTTGGGTCTGTGGCTTTCCATTAACTTTTAGTCAATAAAGTGCAAAAAAAGAAACACTTCTGAAGGCATTTCAATGTTCCTAGCATTTAGTCAATGTGACAATCTGACAATGAGCATGATTCTTTCGACAGAAAGTAACAATCATAATTTCTGAGAAATCAAAATTCTCCATATATGTGATGGCTTCACTGTGTGGGGATATTGTAGTATATCTAGTACTTGGGGAAAAGACTTCTGTAATGTCATTTGCTATTGCAGCTTTTTCCCATATCTGTTTTCATTCAGAGACAAAAAGAATGTTAATGTTGTAAATGTGTATCCTCGGCTGGTGTAAACAGCCATAGACAAATTAATTCTCAGAGGTTTTTTTTTTAATTTTCTAGAAAACACAAAGAATTGTTGGAGTAAAATAAATAATAAAAATAAAAATGGAAAAATATAGAAATGCAGATTTAAAGTATCCAGTTAATCTTAACTCTGCCCCTGTTGCTGCACTGCTCAATAGACACCGTACTCTGAAGTCTTGATGTAAGATAGATAAATGTCTGGTAAATGTCATAGTTGTTCAGCTATTTGTGATCTCAAACTTTTGTGGTGGTTTGGCCTTGATGTTATTGTTTTTGCTATGAAAGTAAGCATCTGAAATGCTGTTTCTTGTATAATTTCATGCATGAACTCTAGACTGCATATAGTCTATAGTTTTAGATATGCTAAATGAAGTAAGCTGTAACTAATCCTACATTTGGTTGGTTGTACAGAGCTTAAAATTTCTGAAGCCACACAGACAAATGATATTTAAAGGCCTCCATTTAAAAATTCATATTGCTTAGCCTAAGCAATTGTAGCAACAGAATTTCTATGTGTGCTTAGATACTACTGGATAAGCATGAACAGATAGGGTGTGTCTATGCTGCACCCATAGCTCGAGATAGCTTATTTTGAAATTTGACACTGGCTACATTGGCTACACAGAACTTATTTCAAAATAAATCACTATTTCGAAATGTCCTTAGTCCTCGTGGAATGAGGTTTACAGGGATGTCAGAAAAGTGAGTCTTTTATATTTTGAAATAATGACTCACTCAAAAAGATGCGGGGTAGCTATTTTGGGATACTGGAGGTAGTATAGAAGTAGCCATAAGGTATTTATATGCATGTAAGATAAATTAACTACTTAACAAGTCAGGTGCACAATTTACTCACACAAATTAGGTATTTTCATAACTACATGAATCATGTACAAAAATATGTGTTCAATTATATGTACTAACTTTGAAAAATGGCTTATATTCTGTGACCTGAAAACAGTCTCTTTTCCCCACCAAAACATTCCTACAGAATTGTGAGCCATGACAAGAATGGTTCTGTTATATCCTTCTCAGGACTGGACTAAAACATTTTTATTCTCCTTAAAATATACTTTGGTACAATATGTTTCCTCTAATCTCTTGCAGGGTCTCCATACAGAGACAAGATCACTATAGCAATTCTTCAGCTGCAAGAGGAAGGCAAGCTCCACATGATGAAGGAGAAGTGGTGGAGAGGCAATGGTTGTCCAGAAGAGGAGAGTAAAGAGGCCAGTGCTCTGGGAGTTCAAAATATTGGTGGCATCTTCATCGTTCTGGCAGCTGGATTGGTACTTTCTGTCTTTGTGGCAGTGGGGGAGTTTTTGTACAAATCAAAAAAAAATGCCCAGTTGGAAAAGGTAAATATTGTATTTTTCCATTTAATTTTATTATTCTTGTTATCATCAAATCCATTTTTATGCTTCTTGGTGACCCAATGAAAGGCTGTCCTTATAAACTTTATATTCTAGTTCACAACAGAGTACCTCATGTGTACCGTATACAGCTTTTAATTTGTCTTTAATGTGTTCAATTGTAGCCAGCTTTCAGGACAAGTGACTATTTCTCCTCTTATACGAGCCTGAAAAAAGACAGCTTTTTACTCCTGGAAATTCACTGCAGTTAATTTTATGGATGAAGAAGAAAATGAGAAACTGTAATGGAAAATAAATTAATCTTCTACAGATAAATTTGATATTTAAAAGTCAGAACTGTGTATCGGTTCAATGTCAGAAGTCTAGAAATATCTCTATAGAGATGTCCTTTGCCGAAGACGTTTATGCTTCACAAATTGGTCTAGTAGCATCTGGAAATTATTATATCAATATTATTTTTATAGATTTACTACTGGTTATGATTTGAACTCCTGTAGCTTGAATTCATCCATTTTTGAAAAATCTAGTGTTATCATGTCCTATACTGACCATTTGCATAAATATGGTAATTGAATTATTTCTGGATCTGGTAATGTCTTGCAGAATTCTTAGGTGATATGATCAACTTTGTATTATAAAGTGCATCACATATGTAACATCTTACATTGAACTAAAAACTATAGCTTTAATTTATATGCCATATTTTTAATTTGCATTTAAAAATTTTGTGAGAAAATTCAGTATTTTTACTGTTGTTGGGTTTTTTTTAGATTTTTGAGGCACTTGTGACCTCTGTTCATCCCTACTTTAAATATTTTATTTTGTTAAAATAAGTAGTAAACCAAGAAGGCATATTTGTATTGATACTGATTTTGAGATGCTACTTGTGAATTTCTGAAATTTCAAAAATCATTGAGCAAAAATCTCAGGCCTATCAATTGAGACTTCTGAATTTATGTGGATAAACCTAGCTCTTTATAATGCTGTGTATAAAGTGTTATTTTTAATCAGAAAAAAAGCTTTGATATGAATCAACAACACAGTGGAATATCACAAGTACCTAAATAAAATTTGGATATGGGTAGATTTTATCAAATTGCACAAAACCAGTTATGGAAAGGAAAAGTGAACACTCAGATGTCTAATTATAAGAATATAGAAATATTCAATTCTATCAACTTACTTCTGGAACTTTGTCTTTCAGAACAAATTTATTTTGCAAAAATACCATTTGTTTTATGTCTCGATGTGTAGCCGTGTTAGTCTGTAAGGGCAAAAATAGCAAGGAGTCCTAATAGATTTATTAGGGAATAAGTTTGTATGGGTATAAGCCAGTTCATTAAATGAATTGGTGTGGAGTTTATAATTTTCTTAAATTTGTAGCTAAAATAACAAAATAAATTTTATAGACTTCCACCTTTGAGCCTAAAGAGCAAATGGCCATGTGTTGATAATTATATGCTTTCCCTTTCGGCAGTGCAAAATGTGCAATTACACCTGCAGCCTGAGTAACTAAACAGGCTACTGCATATTTTGCTTGTTTAATTTAGAAGCACTATTTCAGATTAGTTGTTTTCTAAAATAATCAGCATTTCGGTCTTATGCTCTGACTATCCAGCTGATCTGTACATGACTAGATCCGTGTGTTCATCAAAGTCAATGATGTCCTAGACAGGTAGAGAATCTGCCATTGTGAAGCCAATTGAAGGGCTTGCCTGGGAAATTGAAGCTGAGTTAAAAAATCAGAAGGAAAAAGTGTAATTGTGCTATTTGTATCAATGCTTTTAAATTTAGTAGAATAAGGGCCTAGGTCTAACATTTGTCTGATTTACCTGAAAAAAAAACTTGCAAGGAACACATATAACTAATTGTGGTCTTTTTGATAGAGTCAGGCATCACCTTCAGATACACATTTGCATTTATTTCATCACAGCCTTTTCCAAGCATTCAGGAATTATTTTATTGACTATTTTGAAAAGTGAAGATAAGGATGATCAGAGTAAAATTCAACTATCCCAGAGGTAGCCATGTTTGTCAGCATCTGCAAAAGCAACGAGGAGTCCCGTGGCACTTTGAAGACTAACATTTATTGGGCATAAGCTTTTGAGGGCAAAGACCCACTTGGTCAGATGCTTAGATGTATGCATCTGACCAATTGGGTCTTTGCCCATGAAAGCTTATGCCCAAATAAGTTTGTTAGGGTATGTCTACACTGCCACCCTAGTTCGAACTAGGGTGGCTAATGTAGGCATTCGAAGTTGCAAATGAAGCCCGGGATTTAAATATCCCGGGCTTCATTTGCATCTTGCCGAGCGCCGCCATTTTTAAGTCCCCGTTAGTGCGGACTCCGTGCCCGCGGCTACACGCAGCACAGAGTAGGTAGTTTCAATTATGCCTGCATGGAGGTTTAAGGGATCTGTCGAAAAAGACTTTCTTTCTCGACAGATCCCCCTCTAGACTGCTGCTTTTTGCCGACAAAGTGTGGAGTCAGCAAAAAGGTGGCCATTTTATGCAAATTAGGCATGGGATATTTAAATCCCTGCTTCATTTGCAATGTTGACCTGCCTAATCTGCATCCCTCTGGCAACAAAGGAATTCAGTCGAGATGTACCCTTAGAATTTTTACAGCAAAGACTAAAAATGCTGGTTTAGTTGAACTTTGACATTTACAGGAATCTAAACAACTTCATACAATGTATAAACTGCATTTTTTAATCTCTGAAAAGATAACCATTCCCTAGAAATACCTAGCCCAAATTCTGTTGTTTTTACCAACATGTTCAACAAATCTAACAATTTTAATGATTGGTACAGTGTATGGCAAAGCAGCATTCAGCCTTCCAGGAACCATAGACAAGTAATACAGATTGAATAAATTATTTTAAATTCTAATCCAAAACAAAAATTGAACAAACATTTGATTTACTCGATAGTCTGTACCTTATTCTGTGAATTCATAAGGAATAAGCAATAATCCAGTCCTAGAAAAACTTCTACTTACTTCCCCTCGGTGGGAGATCTGAACTTGGATCTTTAGCAATATACTATTGCCTTTCTTTATAGCAGAGATTAAAATACCAGCCCAAGTGATGGAACAGGATGAGTGGACACTCAGGCTACAGCTGCACTAAGGCTACTTCTACACTATGAGTTTTTTCGGCAGAAAATATGCTAAATATGCTAATGCTCATGCTAATGTTAGCATAAGTTGCAACATCATTAGCATGTTTTCTGCCATTCTTTTTGTGCAAGGGGATTTTGTGCAAAAAAAAGCAGCGTGGCCACGCCCGTTTTGCGCAAACCCCCCATTTTGCGCAAGATCCTTATGCCTGTCCCGGAGAGGCATAAGGATCTTGTGGAAAAAGGGGATTTTGTGCAAAACGGGCATGGCCACGCTACTTCTTTTTGCGCAAAAACAGATTAAAAGAGAGTATGCAGATGAAGCATGGGAAGATGATAATCTGTGCTTTATTTGCATAGGCTCTTGTGTCAAAACTGATAGTGTAGCTGTAGCCTCAGTAGGCTATATTCCTTCAGAGCAATCTATTGTCCCAATATGAAGTGTTTTGTCTTTTAGAGGACCCTATTATTCCCCCACCTCCTGATTTTTCATGTTTGCTACCCGGTCATTGAGTGCATCCACAAGACGGTGCTCTGTATTTTTAGAAGGTAATGTAATTGCCAAATTTTAATAGAAATAATGGGGAAAAGGCCAAATTACCTTCTTTCATTACAGTCTCTAGCCAATAGTTTATATAGTTTACTTATTGTTTATAATACAAACACTCAATTATGTCATCTTCTTGGAGTCACGTGAAGCAGACTTTTGTTCTCTAAGACAATCTTGACAATAAATGCACCATCATTTGCATTTCATAATTGCTTTTCTTAGTGACTGTCCTACTCCCTGAATGTAACAATATGGTGACACTTACAGGAGCAATCTAAGAAACTGAAGCCATTTTAAACAATTACCAATGTAATTATTATTGATGTAATTGTTTCAATGTATCAGTTCTATCTCTATTACATATCTTTGTTTTTGTAAAGGTTGAGAGTGTTTTTACGTCATGTTACAAAAGTGAATGTGATCTTGAAGAATAGTAATATTTAATATAATATATTGATGGTTCTTACTTTGATAATTTATTGGCATTGCTTCATTATTATTCTTTCAAACTACAGTTCTTTTAGATTGGCTTTCCCATTTGATACCATCTCTTCCTAGCCTTATTGTCTCCTGGAAATTATTAATTCCCATTGTATGAGGAAGATGTGCATTTAATCTATTTGGGGCAATTCATCTAGAGGGTACCTTTGCACCAGGTGAAACTTTACAGTGAAATTCATCCTAGAGCAGAATAGCAATGAACGACCATACAGAACATTGGTTTATGATAGGGCCATATTCAGAAAAGGATTGTTATTTCCTATCTATGCCAACCACCTATTCTTCAGAGAGCAGGGCAACCATGGGTGTGTACTAGTGACGTGACCATGCAGCCAACAGCCCAGGGCACTATGGAAGTGGCATGGAGGGCTGCAATTGCTAAATCAAATCAGAGACTGAAAAGCAGCAGTGCTGCAGCCCTATATACCAACTTGCACTTTTCCCATGTAAAGTCCACTGACTCTGACTTTAATATTATTGCTAACATGGGGTTTACTTGAAGACAGCCTGGTACAGGATATTTACAAAGAGATATATTTGACCCACATGATTTTGAATACCCCACATTCATATCAGGTTGGAAAAAAGGCTGGTCATCATTTACCCAATGTTTAGTTTCACTGATAGTCAAACACAGAATGTGCATAACATAGTTATATTGTACCATGCATAAAACAGTCTTCCTGAAAAATGATTATTATTACGGAATTATCAACATGAAATCTTCAAGTCAGAATATGAAGAAGCCTTCTTTTCCTTTTTTAAAAAAATGGTTGTGTTAAAGCCATGAAAATTGAAACTGGTACAATAATTTCAGGTTCAGAAGTTTATAAATCCTTCTATCCTTCCAGACCTTTTCATTCATCATACAGGTTTTTCTCACATGTGACCACATTTATTTTTATTAAAGCCTTTTCCTCACCATTTTTGAGACATTATAAAGAGGAATGAAGTGTAATATATCAGCATTATTACTGTTTCGAAAATATCCTGATAGGTTTAATTTTCCAAAAATTTGTTAATATCATCTGTGCTTTTTTTTTTACTTTGGGATGAAGACCAAAGTAATTCCCAGCACAGTGTCTTTTTTTTTCAGGGTCTTCCAAGTTCAAAAGATTTTAAAATTGTCAAGCATGTTTGTCAGGCTGCAGATGAATAAAAATGTGGTTAATCAAAGCGGGAGATCTAGGATGTATATCCCTATAAACTTTATAAAACTCACAATCACGATGCAGCCTGAAAGATGATATAATTTGACTTAGCATAACCTGAATGTTCTTGGAGTTGGCTGGGAATAACAGAATAGTAGTTGAGGGGTAGCTGTGACTTCATAAATGGAACATTTTTCCAATATTGGTACATCTGCGTTATGCAGAGAGGCAGATGGAAAACTGGAAACTCATCTCATCCCCAATCCCTGAGCTCCAGTAGGAAGGATTGTTCTGCTTTTGTATGCCGTCTCATCCCCAGTCCCTGAACTCCAGTAGGAAGGATTGTTCTGCTTTTGTATGTAGGATATATATTTTTTTCTGGTATACAGTAAGAGCTGAATTCTAATGCAATGCCCCATTTAAAATTGTTTTATTGCATATACTTAGAGGGATATTTGCAGTGGCAGGAAGTGTAAAATAAAAAAGTTTTGCAGGCAAAATGGGAAAAGTCAAAGAAGTGTTACAAACAGAGCAAAACAATGGAAATGAAGATTTGTATTTGGTTGACCTGACAGTTTTCAAATAATCTACAAAAAATAAAACATTTAAAACATGATTTCCATTTTGACTTTTGATTGCAGTTTAACAATGACAGTGAATAATGGCACAGATGTATTTTGCTTTTAATTTAAACTCACAGAAGTATAAACAAAAAGATATAGAACACATTTAAAATTGTCAAGCTGATTATGTCCTTGAGAATTATTTCATAGAAAGCTCCTGATCCTGGAAACCCATACATATGAGTGTAATTTCACTGGTCCAAGGGTCCTGCCATTCAGTGTGCTCATAGAAAGATCTGGTCCTAAATTCCAGAACTGATTTATGGACATTTTTTATGTTTTCTACACAGATACCTTTAATGTTGCATTTAAAATTATCTCTTTGTCAGTCCCCTTTTCCATAACATCTTTTCTCTTACCAAAGATAGTTCTTGGCTCCTCTGAAAAATGCCTCATTTGTTCTCAAAGGGAAAAAAATTAAAATATTTCAAAAAATGCAAGTCTCCTAATGCTCACTCATTTCTTCTCTTTTGATGTTACATCAAGTAAGTCCTTCCTAAAAAATCCTCCTTTACCAATGTCTGTGTTTGCAATAATTTACATTAAATATAAGGGTAATACAATCACCTTGTTAGAATATTGGTGTATCCCACAGTTGAATTCAGGTCAACAACCCAGATCCAAATTAGGATACATGTTAATTTACTGTAGGTCTGTGGACTCCCTTCATTGGAATTGGAGCTGAAACAGCTCCGGTCCCTGCAAGAGGAAATGCATGTTCATGTTGTATTAGCTTGTACAAATGGAAAATACATCATTTATCATTTGTCAGTTTTGATAATACAGTGGAAACAATGTATGTGAGATTAGTACTAATACTCTACTCAGTGTGATCCAACGCAATGCCATATTTTTTTTCTGAAAAATGAAATATAACCTTAACAATTTCTACAATTCATTAAATATTTGACTATCTATTCTGCAGATAATTTTAACTCAGTATTCACAAATATACAGAAAGATATTTAAACATACCTGCTTAAAATTGACTAGTCAGTTTCCAAAAGGCTCTATGTTGTATAAAAATTTTATGTAGTTTTTGTTTTGAGATGTATGCTGTATACAAGTCCATGGTGAATACTTTCAAACGTGAGCTATTGCATGTACATTCTGCCCCAAAAGACTTCCTGCAGTCACTCCCTTTCATTGTATCCTAAGGGATAAGAAACCTGAGCTCATTGGACAAGCTGGGCATGAATTCAAAACCAAAAATGAGAGTGATAACCCCTGAGTGACCAGCCTTTCATATCTAAGAGCTGATTACGATAGATCTCAGCTAGCTGACTGACTTCAGAAAACTAGGCCAGACCCTGTAGGAAATCAGGGAAGCTCTTGTATAGCACGAGCCATAACCACACAGAAACTATAATTAAAATGATATTTTAATTGTGCATGGAAGCCTATAGTCAATTATGTGTTTGTTGTTGTATATCTGGTTAGTATTAGCTCTGTGCCTGACCTGCTATAATATGCTCCATTATTGCTAAAACCATCTAACAAGTATTCAGCAGCATTCTACCCTTATTTTAGCTTCTGACTAATCCACAGTGCTTGTCCCACATAGAATGGATTGCAATAATCCAGACTGGAGGCCACAAAGATCTGGATAACTGCGACAAGATCTGAATTAGGCAGAAAATGTTCCCACTTTCTAACCAAGCACAAAAGAGAAATGATAATCCTGACCACTCAAAACATAAGATGACCCAGGAAACTGGAAGAATGCTGAGACTGCAAATCTCATTGACAAGGTGGAACAGAACCTACAATAACAAGGGCAACCACAACCTTCTAAATGCTTCCTTTTACTTTTCCGTATAACAGCTAGCTTCTCTGGATTGAACTTCAATCACACCCCTATTTCAGCCAAACATTGGAAGTGCAAAGACTGCACCATCCTGGTTTGACAAAACAGAGATGTAAGGCTGTATGTCATCTGCATGTTGATGACACTGCAGACCAAATTGTCTCATTATGTCCCCCCAGTGGCCTCACATGCATATTGAGAGGAGGGATGACAGAATGAAACCTTGTGGACTTCCGCATGGGAGAGAATCCTTGGGGCTGATGAGCAATTGCCCTGTACCATCCTCTAGAATCTCTCTGAGAGAAAAGAATGGAACCATGCAAGTACAATCCCATCCACCCCAACCTAAGTCCACAGGTGAGTCAGCAAAACCTCATGGTCAGTGCTATCAAAGTCTGCTGATAGATCTAATGAAAAATTACCAGTGAGGAACAGTTGTGCATCACTAGGAGGATGATACCAACCAGTGGAACTAATGCAGTCCCCATGCCATACACTGACTGGAAACCACAATGAATGGTGTCCAAGAAGTCAGAAAACTTTGCTTCAAGCTTCACCCTTAACATTGGCATAAAGGAAAGTTAGATACTAGAGAGTAGCTACCTACATTATTCTCATCAAGCAATAGTTCACTGAACACGAACCTAAACTCTACCAATTTGAGGGAAGCTGGCACCTTGCCCTCCCATTTGGACACATTAACCATCTACAATAGAGGAGTCCATTGCCCTGCTTGATTTAACCAGTAATGAGGGATGAGGGACCTTTTTGCAGGTCACCGGCCTATGCTCATCCAATAACACTAGACTCTCAGTGACCACAACTGGTTGAAACTTATGGCCAGAGAAGATGTTGTATTAGTGATCCCCGACATAGTTCTGTTGTGAGGTGCTAGTTGAGTCAGATTCTGACTGATTTTCTTGACAAGATAGGTAGAACACACCATCAATAGTCAACTCTATTTCAAAATGAAGCCTCCCTCAGCTCCAGCAAGCTAGCTATCAATTGGAAAATTCCACAGTTCAGGATTTCATGGATATTATGGTGAAAGAAAAGCTTTCTCAACCACCACAAAAAACTTATGGATTGTAGGGCATATTTATACTTACCAGAAGATAGACACTCCAAGGGTCAATCTTCTGGCATTTGATTTAGCAGGTCTAGTATAGACCTGTAAACTGAACACTGAGGGCAGCTTATTCTGGTGTCCAGTACTCCTCCTTTTGGGCTCCCATCGTCCTCCCCACTCCCATAGTGTGGATGCCACCAAAGCTCGGCTTAAGTTAAGTTACATATCTTAAGCCGACCTGCTGGGTCTTGTGCAGACCTGGCCTTAGATAGTTTTACATTTTCCTTGTTTTGTTTTTAGTCTCTGCTCAAACCTCCAACTGATTTTGGTTTGAAATCATAACTAAATGTAATGCCAACAGGCAGAACTGAATCTAGGACTTTTAGAGCTTAGTGCATGAGCCTTTACAGCTTGAGCTAAAATCCAGCTGGCTGTCAGCTAAGGCTGTAGAGCAAACTCAGTCTCTCCCTCTGTAAGTTATCTAAGTGCCACTAGATGGGACAGTTCACCATACTCAGTAGGTGTGTGGGTTACATAATCACTGAATTTAGGTCCCGATCCATGATCTGGCAAAAAAAAAAAGCTGGTAATGCTTAAATAGAAAATATATTTGTGAATACTGCAGTTAATTTCTCTGAAATTTAGCTTGCAGAATACCTGAACACTATACTTTCTCTGGGTCAAGAATGTATGCAGTGGCAAATACTGTGTAATGATATGTCAGTTTTAATGCACATTTTTTAGAGAACATATGACCTTAAATCAACTCTCTTGTCCAAATGCATGTTGGTTGCTAGTATTCTACAAATGATTGGTGCAGATATGTTTTAAATATAAATTGAAAGTGAAATAGTTCAAAGCCCAAGTCATTTCCCCTCTTTCTGTCCCATCCTCATAATTTTGTCTTATATTCCATTAGTTGTTGCAATGTTTGTAATTGCATCAATGTTGTGGAAACACTTTTTTCTAGAATTTGTGTTTCTCTCTTTGCATCTGAGAGATGGGATTGACAGGTCCTAACTATACATCATTCAAAATCCTTGGGGAAGTGGCATATGGAAGCAGAAACTGATTAGAAAGGAGGCTCAGGACAGGGCTATGAATCCACTCTCAGCTAACTTACAAGAGGAAAACCAGTTTGATTGATATGTCCTAGTAGATGTTAGAACATTGACCCATAACATCTGATATAAGCTGCAGGATCACTGCCATTACTGCTTTAAAATTTTTTAACAAGGCTTCAAATAATATCTGACATGCAAGGCTGGAGGTAATGAACTTCTGAGTAAATCTTGTCATTTCATACTGTATTCCGACATTCAATTTTATGCTAACTCCATCAAAGAAGAAAGGAGGCAGATTTATAAAAGAGCAAATGATTGAGTCTTTTTCCTTAATAAAAATAGAGAATAATGCTGGGTAAATTCAGAATTTGAGAAACACAGCTATACCATTTCTGTCTTGTTTCATAATATTTTGTTCCTGGTAATGTGTGGACTGGTGGTTTGTATACTTTTTAAATTTGTTTTTCTTGAACTAAAGTATATACTTGCTGCTGTCAAGCTTTCATATATTTATGAATGCAATAATTATTGCTCTTCTTACAGTCATTAGCAACAAAATTTATATAAATTTAGGTCTGAGGAGTATTAATGTGGTTTCTGTTTACTTTTCCTCTTAATGTGATATACAATAACATAAGAAAGCTGTATAAATTTTGTCCAACTTTGGTATTGATGTTTGTGGGTATTCAAACCCACATGATTTCAGGTTCCAGAATGGGCACAAACTGTCTGCAAAGATTGTAAACAATGGTAAGAAATGATTATACTGAATCCATGTGAGCTGGCAGTTGTGACATCGGATGAAGTAAACACTGCTTAGTTTTTCACACTTTATAAGGATCTGAGCTCTTGCAAAACCCTCTTTGTGTCAGAGACTGAAGGATATGCAACACCAATGCTGATTAAAACTTTATTTTGAACATGTTAACCTTCTGACTATAAATGCAATTCTTCTCCCCTCCCCCCACAAAGTTACATATTGATTATTCATTTTGCTATAGTAATTACATTTAACTGTGTGAATGCATGAAGAATTTTAAACTTTTTTTCCAAGTCATCTGCTATCTGATTCTCTCTAAAATGACTTTCAGGCACCATTTACTTTCTGGTTACATTTATCAAGAGAGCTTAGAGGTAGCCAAAATTCAATTATTGTTGATGTTTTGTAACCTGCCTTAGGTCCAGAAGGTAAGTGAGTAAAAAATTGCATAGTATGTATTCAAAGAGCTCATTTTCAAGCTGGAGATGCATTTCTGAAATAGATAGCCTGCAATTTTGGCAAACTTTGAAGGTTTTCTAACCATAATGCAATTTGAATGTCCATTTGAACTTTGGGAAAAACATTTGATTATATATTCTAAAATCCTCTCAGAAAGTATTGTAATCTACCAAGTACAAAAAGTATCGTATAGCTCTTTTCTTATTCTGTATGCTATGGCCTCCACAGGTATAACCTAGCAATGTACAGTCTTTGAAGAAACATGAAGTAGCTAGAAAAAAATGAGTTAGTGGGAGGTAAGAGAGATTAGGGTAGAAATGCAGTTAAAGAAATGTCAAACATAGAGTAATTATTTGAAAAATGTTCTGCACATTACTTTGCACAACATAGGACTCACTTTTCAGCGAAAAAAAATGAGAGATCCATCTTGTGAACTTTTATATAGTCCAGAAAGGAAGAATAAGTTATAATGATGCTCTTAATAAGGAAAAAAAATTACATGTAAAATGTGGCTGTTTGTTTTAATGATTGGTAAAAAAAAGACAGCACTCTCTGGGAGTGAAGTGCTTAATATATAGTTGTCATATGGTTTAAAAAGTTAATGCTCTAAATTTCAAATGAATTTACTCTTGAAATATGTAACATATGGAGATTAATATAATGTTTTACTCTTGAAATATGTAACATATGGAGATACGTTTGCATGAACATAGACAAATTAATTAGAAAGTACAGAGCAGGAGTTTATAGAGTTTATACTATGTATTCATTTAGACTAAATGTAATTATGGGCATGACAAATTTATTATCTGCCTCATAAAACTGTCAGACTTCAAAATAATCTTCATTATATGGAGTTCATTTTAATTAATACTAAGATCTAGAAGTAAACTCTAGAGCCTTATGTGTTTGCACTTTTCCTGAGATCTAGGTTTAAGTACAGGTTGAATTTCTCTAGTCTGGGATCCTCAGGACCTGAAAGGTTCCATACCAGAGAATTTGCCAAAGCCCGGGAGGCCAATATAGTGTAGCAGCATTACCAACATTTCCACTGCTTATTGGGATGTTAGAAGGCACTTAGGGGTAAATGAAAGCTAAGTAATAACACAGAACACAGACAGCCAGAATTGGCTGTAAACGAACTTTATGGGACTGCAGGAAATGTAGCTACACTCATGCTAAGTGGACATCCAGCTAAATAAAATAATGCCCAACCATGGATGTTGCCAGACCAGAGAGTGCTGGACTAAAGAGGTTCAACTGTATTTGGTAAACTAAGTATGTGTGACAACAGCTATTAGAGGTTTACAGCACTGTATATTAAGAAACAGGCTAATGAGGTTAGTTGTGGGAATGAGTGGGGTCAACATATATCATCACCATCTCAAGCAATATTTGAATAATATTTCCGATGGAAATATTTGATTGTAGAACTGCAATATTTCTAAGAGCATAGGGTCAAATTCACCAGTATGGCCTGGCTGTTTTTGCCACACTAACAAAAGAAAGAAGTTATAATCCTAACTGGTAATGTTTTCAAATATGGGATGTGCCAGGATGTTGGTAATGAGAATGCATATACTTTCATCCCTTGACCACTATTTGTACTGAATTTTGTACTAGTTACTGAATGTTGGTGCTTTCTGACAGATTTTTACTAACTTATGCAAAATGAGTTGGTAGTTTCAGTCCAGTTGTAGAAGGACAGAAATCTACTCCATAAAATCCCCAATCTTTTCAGATACGCAAAATGAGTTGGTAGTTTCAGTTCAGTTGTAGGACAGAAGTCTACTCCATAAAATCCCCAATCTTTTCAGAGGTTCTTGTTCAGCATCTTATCAGGGAAGCTAAGGAATTCAGTTTTCAAAAGTGACTTGACAGACTAAAAAATATGTGTGCTAAACAAAATATGTTTTCAGACATGATTTAAGCACTGCAGAGACTATATGCCATTGGTTTTCAAAGAGACTCAGGGGCCTAAGTTTTCATTTTTGAAAACAGGAACTTGGCTCCTAAGTAACATAGGTCTTTTTGTAAACATTTTATGTAAGATCTTAATTAAAATTAAGAATGATTTTTTATTGGACATGTTACTTCTAGGGAGAAGGCTGAAACATGTTAGTGGGAGGAGATGACTAGGACTGCCTTATAACTGCTTGTTTCTTGGACATATTTTCCAAGGCACAAGTGGAAGTTAAGTGACCACCTGTGCCACATTTTCACTAAAAATTGGACGTCCCTGTTTGCCATTGAAAATCCCCCTTTTGTATCTAAGTCTTTATATCTTTCCCAAGAACTAAATTCACTAATTTACAAAAAGTGTACATGAAAATTGTAGCAATAAATGTTATCCAGAAGGTAAGAACAAGAATTCCTGTCACAACCGTAAAGCCAAGAATATATCACAGTGTGTGGGTAATTAGCAAACATTTTTTTTTTGAGAAAACAGTTGTTAATCAGAAAAGTCAACCTTACAGTAGAAATATGCTTGATTGGAGTGTATCATTGTGACTTGAATTATTACTGCTTTGCAGCCTGGGTAAAACAAAAGACACAGCTCAGACTATCTCTGGTCTTATTTCTAATCTAGGTCTGTTTTGCACACTCCTCTCTTGTTGCAATGGGAGTCAGCTTTAATAACCAAATTCTACATTAATTGCAGGGCTTCATTTAGAATTTGTGAACTCATGTAATTTTAGATATTTACAAATAAAACAAGAACTCTGCAGCTAGAAAAGCAGTGGACAAAAAGTTGAATATTTGTTGCTGACCTATCATTAATCATATAAAATTGACACTGATTAGCTATTGGTTACAGTAATTTCAAAATCTGTCTTCTGAGGGTTTGTTCTACCTGAGTTTCATGTGACTTCCAGGGCTGGTATTTGATAGAGGAGATGGTGAAGGCTAAACAAAAAAGACTAGATTGTAATTTGATAACCTTTTATAGTGTGGGCAGTGTGTTGCTGAGCTTAGTTATAATTCCTTTCACCCTTGCCCTTCCTCTGGAAGGAGTAAGGTACTTCACCTGTACTCCCTACAATATGCCTGACTTATACGATCTGGAGAGGGCTTCTCCCATCTTTACTTCTTTCCCTGCTCACAATGGGAGTATAGGGAAAATATTTGGGATCAAAGTCTCCTCTGAACTTCTGAATAAGTTTCTGACAGTCTAGGCCATATGAGAATGTACAATAGATGTATGCCTGACAGGTTGTCCTCAGGAGTATATACATTTCAAATTCAATCTAATATTTTACTTTAAAGTCCTCTTCTCTGATCACTGTTCTTCTATGGACAACATCACCTAAAGAGATGCAAAATAAGATGTTGGGTATTTGTTTCCCATTTAATTATTTTTAAGTTAATCTAAAATAACTTTATACATGATGTTGCAAGTTTTTGAAAAGCAGAAATTCCGATTTTTTTTTAGGAATTAAATATACTATTTTGAAAATATAAAGCAGGGCAATTTGCAGAGTAGATAGTGAACCTGTACATTCAAACTTTAACCTGTAAGGCTAATCTAGGCTAACAGAGCATCTGTCAGAAATCTTTTTACATATAATGTGCATCAGGAGACACTAGTTGGCAGAAAAATAATCATAGAGACAAGGTGAAACTTTCAATGAGCCATCACAGCTTGATAAGTCATTTTAATTATTATGTGATGCATATTTAAAAGACAGCAATTTGTTATGAGCTCCAGGCTGAAACATGGCCAGATGACAAGGCTGTGCCAAAAGATTGAATCTGCTTTTAGGCATTGCAACTTTACTTTCTTACAACTGTTTTCTTTTCTTTCTTCTTCTTTTCCTCATCCTTAAATTTTCCCCTACAGAGGTCCTTCTGTAGTGCCATGGTAGAGGAGTTGAGGATGTCCCTGAAGTGTCAACGTCGGTTAAAACACAAACCACAGGCCCCTGTTATCGTGAAAACAGAAGAAGTTATCAACATGCACACATTTAATGACAGAAGGTTGCCAGGTAAAGAAACCATGGCATAGAGCTGGGAGGCCAAATACCCCAAGCACAAACTGTCGTCTTTTTTTCCAAACAACTTTGCGAGAATGTTTCCTGTGGAAATATGCAACCTGTGCAAAATAAAATGAGTTACCTCATGCCGCTGTGTCTATGAACTAGAGACTCAATGATCTAAGCAGTTGCAATGGCCAGACTCAAATCACAAGCGTCATGGATCAACCAAGTTATGCAGGGGTTACACTGTTTGTCATGGGTTCCACCATTATGAATGAATGTTACATGTGAGTTTTGTGGCTGATTTCAAATGCAGTCTCAGTGAGAAATTGCAGGTTCCTTTTGAAGTTCAACTGTTGCCAGGAGGTGGAGAATAAATGTCCTACATACTAACTAACCACTGAAGGAGTCTTCTAACAGTAATGTCTCAGAACTGTAGTGGAGCAAGAAAGCGTGTGTTCTTCAGAACTTCCAAGTGGAGAAGAGTTGGTATTTACTGGTCTCTATCTACAAACTGTAACTGCCAGCTGGAGAGGTGACTTACTGGATGGGGAAAGTATTAAAAAAAAAGAACATCTGAATCCCAGGAATAATATAAAAGCGGGGACAATAACCTACTTTTTCAACTGTGTCTATGTCAATGACCAAAATAAAAAATGTCAGTAAAAAAGGCAGTAATAATTTCCTTTAATTTACTTGAGCTGGAACGTTGATGTGAGAAAACTATACGGTTGACCCAATTTTAGATGACATAAAATTTTCTTGAGTACAAAGGAATGTATCTTTACAATCTTCAGCTGTAAGCAATTACTTTGTTCTGTAATTGTGAAAAGAGAAAAAAATAAAGTGTATTTGGCACACAGAAGGCTTGTATTTTAGCCAAAAACAGTTATGAACCCCTTGATCCTGCTACTAATTGAACTCATTGGAGCCTGTGCAATTCTCATGAATAGTGGAAAAGGGATTGGTCACCCAAAAGAACTGAATGTGGAGAACTTTAAAGAGGACTGCATTTATCAATACGGTCACAGTGTTAAATGAACAAAATTCTTGAGCAGTTTTTTTTTCCAAAAAAATGTTCAGGTTTATTTGTGGAAATGCAAGATTTCTATGAAAATAGTTTTTGTATGGAAATTTTTGTAATACTTTTTATCAACAAAATAAGAACATGCGTTCCGGTCGGGGGTGTGATGCCAAGCATGAATGGTAGTGTGAGAGCATCACCAACGTTTGGTGAAAACTATTTTTATCAAGAAAAAGGAATCTTAGAAGAGAAATATTTTCAAGTTAGGTAATATAAAAGCTGAGTGCACTACCAGCACTGCTTACCATGCTACACTCCTGGTTTCCACTAGGCTGATTACATACTGTAATGAACAATTGTGTGTAAATGGTAAAAGACACAAAACTCTTGACCACATTGTGATAACAGTTGAAGTGCACACAGTTTGCTGTTTGAATCCAATGCACAAAATTAAAAAAAAATAAAATTATGTCAGTTTTAGTTGTTTTGTTTTTGCTGTGTGATTTGAGCAATAAATTTAAAGTACTTTTTGTCAGTACTGGTACCTGTAATAATCTCTGCTTAGGACCTGATCCTACAAACATTTGCTAGTGAGTATAAACCAGTGACTTCTTTGGGATTTCTGTACACCTCCTGCTCTGGACATCTATTTCAGAATTATGCCCTTAGTTGTTACTAACTTGATTTACTAGCTGGGGTTTCAGGACATAATGCTGAGGGGGAAAAAAGCCCCACTATTTAAACTTCCACCCTGTAAATGTGTATACTGAAAATGCAGCAAAATATATAATGATGGGTTATTACAGTAAAGTTACACCTACCACCAAAGTTTAAAGATTTTTTTTTTTTAATTCCAGAAAAAAAATTCTTTGGCTTGCTTATTTATTTATTTATTTGTTTATAACAGAGTCTTAAAAGTGCAGGAATAAGAATTCAGTCATTGAAGAAGAAAAAGAATAGTTGTTTATTCAAGACACAATTTTATGTTGTCATCCAAAAAATTATTCCATAATGTTTCACTTGTCCAAAACAAAAATATAATATGTACTGCCACCATTATGGGGATTATATTGTGCAATTTGGGACTTTTTGGGTACTGTCCAGTTCCCATAAATTTTCATATACAATGAGTTGGCTGTTTTCATCATAACTAGGAACTACGAAAGTAACATTTCTGCTTGTGAGAGTTTCATTCTATTAACATGTTATAAAGTACAGGTTAATTCTACCAAAAACAAAACTTAAAATTTTGAAAAAAGCACCTTTCAGCAAAGGTTCTTAAATATATATATGGTTACATAATGCACATTTAATCTTAAGTTTAATTTTTAAATACAAAAAAAGAAAGAAGTAAATGTCATAACAGATAACTCCTAATTATGATGGTTTGGAATGCTGAAGCATTGGCAATTGCAGTAACTGATGATTTACAATAAAATTTGTAAAGTCATAAAGTATAATGCTGTTTTATATTCAAACTAACCTTTTTTCTCCATTTAAGGATGTTGAAATAAGCAGGAGTTCCATTCTCCCTTTGATGCACAAGGGTAATTCTCTTTAATATTAATGTGAGCTACAGGAAGTTTGAAAACAGGAGAAAAAAATGCCCCATATCCATTATTTGAGACAACTCCTTCTAAGGCATGGGGGATTGTCAAACTGAAAACATTCAGTCAGAACATGCAGCCTCCCATGGTAAGAGAAACATGCAAAGTAAATGGCATGGACTGCTCAACACACTCCCTGGGATAGGAATAATGACATTATTTCAATGTAAACTCTAAGCCACTTATTGATGTGAGTTGGTAATGGTTTCTGTTTTTAGAGAGTTAAAGAATTTAAATAAAAAAATGACAACGCTCACAGTTGTCCCCCAAGCAGCAGAAAATATCACCCATCTCTGTACATCCCCAAAAGCTCAGACGCTCATTTCCCCATTCATACCAAAGATTAATTTCCCTATCTTCAGAGGAAAAACACATTACTAATGGCTGCTAAATGGCAAGGGCCAGATCCTCAGCTGGTGTAAATTGTGATAGCTTTGTTAAAAATCAATGGAGCTGCATCTATTTACACGGAGTGAGCATCTGGCTTTTGCAGATGCAATTGGACTTTTCTCAGTTCAGTTGCTTTATGTGGGAGTTTTTATATAAGAGATCAATATGCCCATTGATTTCTCGGAAAGGGATGGTTGCTTCTTCTCTGCCTGATCTGGATTGTCAGTACAGAGAAGAGTTTTAAGGCAGCTATAATTGAGCTATGAGTATCAACCTGGAGGATTAAAAAAAAAGAAGCAGCAAGTTATGAATATCTAATGGGATGTCCCTTTCTTTATATTTTAATTTAGAGGTCTATAGTCTGTCAAGAGTCTCTGTAGGCAGATGTGAAATCTTAAGGTTTGACACGTAGCACATTTCTGTAGACTCTTTAGTTAGGAATAGGCAACTCTAGATGCAAAAAGAAATGACAATATGTATTTAATTTTATATGTTCATAAATAATCTACTTTTGGGCAGGACTGAAAGTAGAAATCTTGGATTTCAGCTGAAATCATTAGAGATCAGCTTATGTACATCAATCTGGCTTATTATACAAAGACACACAACTGCAAGACACACAGCTCCTATAGTATTCCCAGGCCAGAAGAAAGCAGGAAGTGCTGGCAGTTTTGTGAGAGAGTCTATTCCTGTGAGGTTTCCAGCCCAGATTCTTAACTGAAGAGCTTAACGCAGGAGTGGAGAATACTCAGGTTTGCACCTGAATTTCTGGGGACTTACCTGAATCTTTTCAGGTTCCTCCATCACTTCTTCCAAAGAATGCATCATTCAATGATTAAAAAATAATAATAATGAAATGACTGGATAACATGACAAAATACAAAGGACATGATGAAGAATGGGGAAGACTAAATAAGTAAATACATTTGAAATGGGCAAAATGTTTTGATATTCTACAAAATCAAGGAGGAATCAAGATCAGATAAACAGCACAGAGTGAGAGAAGCAGGAGGCATATGCCATAGGGATCATTTTAAAGACTGGTAAAAATGTGTCAGTCAAGGAGCAGCTCAAAACCACTTCACCATATATCCAGATAAAGGAGACCCATTGCAAAACAGAGTGGGTTAAATCTTTGCTACTTTGAAATTAATGAAAAAAATCCCATTGGGACTTCAATGGAACCAAGATTTCATCCATTTTCTCTAAAATTGCTACATTTATTAGGTTAAATGTACAATGACAGAAACATTTAGGGCAGGATATGGCATTAACATTTCAGCCTTCAAGCCTGCCTTCAGGTTTACAGGTGATATTCACTTCGTCTCATAGATTCATATATTTTAGTCCAAAAATGGCCGCAATAGTCATCTCATTTGTTCTCTGGCATGCATTTCTTGTGTCCTTTTCTCATGTTTACCCATGCCATGTCTTCTTTTATATTGACCCCTACACATATCCCTTCTGAAGCTATGATCTTCCTTCTTCATTTTTTAAATCTCTTCCCAAATGCATTTCTTCAACCTCTCCTATAGTCCATAACTCCAAATAAACCAATGTTACTTGGAATGCCTCATTTCCCTTGTTTGTAACCACCACCAACACATACACTATCCTTTCATGTGACGGTAATCTTATTGTCCTCCCTTTCATTTTACTTCCTGTCCCCTGCCTTTATCTCTTCCTTCTGTTTTTCTTGTATTTGCCTAGATTGTACGCTCTTAGTGGGCAGGGAATCTATCTTTTATTTGTTATATGGAGCATCATGCACATCTAAGGAGCTATATAAATAATAAAAATAAGACCACTTAAAATAATGTTTGAAGTGATCCTAACATCATTGCCTGCCAGCCCAACACATTGTGAGTCCTGGCTCATGACTGGGGGGCTTCTGCAAAGTGAAAATACAAGTAAAATGATAATAGTAAAAAATCTATTGACAGGAGCCATCACTCTAACTTACACACATCAGTAGGAATTACCCTACAGAATCACAATAAAATAGTAAAACCATTATGGAAATAAAACTCAAGTAACATAGACCCTCATGTTCCGATATACTTAACAGCAGTTCTACTGTTTGTTCTCTCTCGCTAAGGATGAGCCAACCAGTTCAGACAAAATACAAATGAGGTCTTGTCTGAAGCTTAATCCAAATCTGACAGCCTTAACTTATTTTAGGTTTGGAAACCAAGCAATGAATATCTCTTTTCTTACCTTGATCCAAAACGGGCTTCATTCTTTGGTTAAAATTCATCTAATTGTTTAGAAAAGCTAGCAATATTTTCCAATATCACAGTTATGTACTAAAAACCACTATCCAAAGAATTGTTTGCTAATGATAGAAATGTAGAAATTGAATTAAAGAAGTCTCAGAGGGGTAGTTGTGTATCTGCAAAACAATTAGGAGTCCTGTGGCATGTTAGAGACTAATAGATTTATTAGGACATAAGCTTTCATGGGTAAAAAAAAATTAAAGACCTCTTGGGTAAGTTTAAGTGAAATGTACTTTCAGAGGGTGCCTATCACTCAATGTACCTGGCCTAGTGTAACATGTTGGTCATCTGAAAAGGAGCAGCAACTAGTGCCTATACCACACATTATAAATCATTACTACTAAGAGCTGATGTCCAGGAGGAAGACCTACTTTCAAAACTCCATGTTCCAAGGCGTATTTCCACTTTTCTCACTCTAGCAACTGAAGTTACCTGCACCAGGTAAATCTAAGCTTGCAAAAATTGAATTGTTCAAAGGTACTTCAATCAGCTTTCTCCAGACCACATGAATACTTCATGCAACAGTGGGCTTTCCGATAATGAAGCTTAAAACCATCCAGCCACATTTGAACCTGATAAAGGGTGACAGAGACATGGTTCTACTCATCACACATTCATGACTGACTGAAGTAGCAGCCAGATCTATGGAGTTAGTCTTAAATGAAGAATAAAGTGGCCAAGCAGTGTTTGTGTAGAGCAAGTAAAGGGGTCATAGGCTGGCCTGTTTGAATCAACTTGCCAACTTTCTCAAGTTTGCAGAAATGGCAGGAGGACACAAGCCTCCTTTTCAGAACTTGACATTGAAAATAGCCTTTCCAACTAACTGTAGACATCTACCATAGCTGGAATAAAGTTCAGAGATCGAGGGACAGATTTTGAAATGATCTTAGTTGCCTAAATAGTTGTCTAGTGAGATTTTGAAAGTGTCATGAAGTACCTAACTGAATCTCCTTGGTTCCCTATCCCTCATCCTTTATGCTTTTTGAGATGGCACAAGCTGCTCTGAGTAATAACGGTGTTCACTCAAAAGTTCTGAAGAAACATAAATGTGAAATTGCAGAACTTTTAACTATGGTTTTACGCTATCCTTTAAATCAGCTTCTGTACCAAATAACTGGAATACACACAATTTTTTAAAAGGGTCTAGAGGTGAACCCAGTAATTACAGTCCAGAAAGGCTTACTTCAA